ACACATAAGAAATAGTATTCACCCTTGCAGTTTTCTGACAATAGCCATTAAAAACTAGCAGCCAAATCCTTTGGCAAATACATTACAAACACGGCAATTTTTAAAGTGTAGACTACAACTGGGAACAGAATCAAAGACACACTCATCTATTTAGCTTTATTTAACGTTCAAATGATTCCCCTGTAGCAACACAAACTCTCCAGCCTGATAATCACATATTGTTTTTGAGTAATTATTTTTTTAAAAAATTAATCATTTCAGACAAAAGCAAAAATAAAAGATCCTTATCAAACACTAATTAGAAAACCTTACATACTTTATATACTTTTGGATTCATAYGTAATAAAGCCAAAAAAATACAGAATACAAACCCCACAAAAGCAGCTGGGAAAGAAAAAAATGTAATAAACTTACCATGCCCAAATATACTTTTTATGTCTTCTTTTGTAAAGTCTAAAGTTATTGGATTGGTCCATTCTTGCACCTGAATACCAAGATCTTTTGCTAATATCTGTATAGTTGCAGTCTTTCCACAACCAGCTGGACCTGTTAAGAGTAAAACAGAGCCATCCTGTAACAGAAAAAAAAAAATCCAAGACATAAGTAAAGACTACAAGTTGAATGAAGACAAATATTTAATTTCTTTTGTACTTTCTGCAGTACTGATTTATTTTCCCAATTAAAAAAATATAAGTAATTTGTGTCAAAATTCACCTGTTGAGTATTCTGAGAGAAACGGCTAAATCAGAATGCWGAAAGCCTTATTTCCTTTTTGTTTGTTTTGTTTTTTTCCCCCCAAATGAATGCATTCAATTAACTGCTCACTCTTCAGACTACTAATATAATACATATTGAAGTCAAGAATCTGGTCTAAAAAACAATTTGATACTTTTAAATGATGCACTTGCAGAAGAATGCCTCTTACCATTCAGGCAGTTAGAGAGTCCTATTACATCAATTAGTGTTGCTGGAAATCTGCCAAGTTACTTAATCCATAGGAGGTGAAATTCAGTTAATAAGCATACACTGAACAGGTATAAACTGGCTCGATGCTACACAGTCAATTCAGACAATACTGCTGAACAAAGAACAGAATGTAGCTCTGCTCCTCATTGTAATATAAGCTCTAATGAAGTGTTAAAAAAGCTCTAATCTATGTTCTTAAGAGATTCCTTATGCTGCAATACATGCAATTACTATAAGTTAAAGGTTTTTCTGAAATTAGAAAAATTAAATCCAGCTTGTTACATATTGTTTTATACCTCTGTCAACTAATAGTAGCAAGATTACCTGCTTTGGTTTCCTCTGAAATATATGCATTTTTAGCCAGGCTTCAACTTCCTCAATTTTCTTCTTATGCACAGCAAGGTCATTCTGAAACCATGAAAATACATGAAATGCATATATACACATATATATTTATACATATACACACTTCTTTGTTTCTAAGACTATAATGTTACAATTCAAGAACAGAACGTATATTGACTAAACCATTAACTATTCAAGAGTAAATGCAACAATTAAGCATAATCATTGCAGCCTAACAAATTGTTGTTGTGGGGAAAAAAAAAAAAGCTAATAGAAATAACAAGCAATTTATCTTTCGTAAAGGAGCAACAATGTACCTCTGTTTGATTTTATATGTATCCACTATAGTTGCTGCTGGAGCKTGCATTTTTTAGGCCAGACCAACTTTAATACTACATAGGTTTTTGGAGCCGCTATAGATTTTATGCAATTTGCTTGCATGCTAGCAACTCAGTTCCTTTATAGAGATGAGCTATTAAAAATTATATATACAAGTTAGTGCAATAAATTATTCAAATCACTAAGCATTCAACCTTCTGAGATCCATAGCACATGTGCTGGCATATTTGAAACACAAAATGCAAAAGCTGCTCGCCGGGCAGAAATCATGAAACCAAGTTAACATGGTTTTAACACATACATTGCCTTTCTTTCTCCTCTAAAGCCCAAGCTCCTACAGTAACTTCATCACATCCTGAAGTGCCCAAGATGAGGCACAAGCGAGAAAGAAACAGCACACATGACTCTCATAGGACTAACTGCAAAGCTAGCTGCTGTCAAATAACTTGCAAGACAATTTCAGTCATCTATCCCTTAATCAGTGTGCTAACTTGCAGTTCTCTCCTTGATTTTCAAGTACCTGCAGTTGTCAGATGTGGCTGAAATTTGACAGTGTTTTGACAAAACTTTAGGAGGGGACGGGCAGGAAGGAAGATCTTAGTGGCATTACTTCTCCAGGAAATTAGGGAAAAGTGAATTTTCTATACATAGCTATAGCATTAATACCAATTAATCTGGTATCAATATATTAGTAAAACAWATACTTCACCAGATCAATAAAATAGTTTTAGAAACAGAGTTAGTTGCAACATAAAGGGAAAAACAACATGCTTAGGTTGCAAGGGCATCTTACTGTTACACCAGCACTTGGAGTGGCTCTCGTACCTGCGTTTCAGGTTTGTGTTTATCGACCCATGGCTCATCCTGAGAGGGGCTTTGATTTTGCCTGGATCGGCTGCAGGACGAGTCTGTTGAGGAGGACTTTGCCCTTTTCCTGGGCGCATCCTTGTGCTTGCTGCTTGTTGGCAGCGAGGACGGCGCTTGCTGCTTCTGGAGGCGGCTTCTCCCAGCGCCGCCTCCCGCTGCCTTCCCCGCGAGCGGGACAGAAGTGTTTGTGTTTCCAAAGAAGTCATCAAACGAGTGTGCCAACCAACCTGTCATCTGGTCAGAAACACAAATACCAAAAAAAAAAAAAAAGAAGAAGTTTGCTGTTAATGCATTGCTCTAACATCTTTTTAGGTTGACGTGGGCCCGTGGCTGTAGTTTTCCCGTTAGGAGCAAGCTCGGCTCCCCCGCGCCGGCAGGCASGGCCCGGCGGGGCCGGCAGCACCGCGGGGGAGCCGCCAGGACGCCCGCACAGGGACCGTTTCCCTATTTTTAGCCCACTTTGCATAGCTAGCAGCCAGCCCCGCACCCCTGCCCCCGGGTGCGCTCCTCCCGGCGGCCCGGCGCACCGAGACCCAAGCCCCGTTACAGCCGGAGCCGCCGCCCGCCCCGCGGCGCTGCCCACCTGTGCCGCGGCGGCGCGCCCGCCCGCGGCGCTCCCGGCCATGCTGCGCCCTGGCGGGGCCCATGCGGCGGGGCCCC